CTCTCTCTCTCTCTCTCTCTCTCTCTCTCTCTCTCTCTCTCATAGTAACTTAATTTACAAATGCACATGCAGTATTTGTGGAGAAAATACTAAGGGTTCAACCAGATGTGAAAAAGCTTTATCTTCTTTTAAGAGCTTCGGACACCAAGTCAGCCACAGATCGCATGCATAATCAGGTTTATATATAAATACGTATTTCATAATAGCCAAATAATTTTAATGTATCTTGTAATGACGTACATTTTATTAATGTTTACTTATTTTTATATATATTAAGATAATAGGGAAGGAGTTGTTTAGCGTTCTTAGAGAGAAATGGGGTGCGGAGTTTGATTCTTTCATAGCAAAAAAAGTTGTGGCTGTACCAGGAGACGTAACTTTTGATGACCTAGGAGTGAAAGAGTTCAAGTTGAGAGAAGACATGTGCACTGACATTGAAATCATACTTAACTCTGCAGGAACCACAAATTTTGATGAAAGGTATATAGCTGTTATATAATATATGCATATATAAATAGTAAAGACAAGTACGCATGATAATTATTTCGAAGTGTCAGTTGCAGATCCCTATATGTTACCCAAAACTACTCAAAAGAAACGTGTAATTACAATTGACCATAAATTTGGTTTGCAGATATGATATTGCACTAAGTGTCAATACATTTGGAGTTCAACACGTACTGAGCTTTGCAAAGAAATGTCTAAAGCTAGAAATGCTGCTCCATGTGTCAACTGGTTAGTGTTTGTTTTTCTTCTCTTGGTTTCCCATGGCCTACAAGGCTACCATATATATATATATAGCCGTTCCATATCCCAAACTTTATATGCTCAAATTTTATGTCAAAAAAGGAGAGGAGAAGAGTTATGTACTATTATTACAGCGTCCACAACATGTTTTTTTTTTCTTTTTTCTTTTCTAAGTTTCATCTTTATTTATCATCTCAGAATGTTTTTTCCTGGTCTCAATTTCCTTTGATTTGCTTCACTGATATGTTGATTGCTTTTCAGCTTATGTATGTGGTGAAAGGGATGGACTTATACTAGAGGACTCATCTTGCATGGATGAGATGGAAAAGGAGATCACTAAATTTGATTTCAAAGTGCAAGAGAAGAATTTGGTGGAAGAGAAACTGAATGAACTAAAAGCACAAAATGCGACAGAAGAAGTTATTACAACCACGATGAAGGATTTTGGCATTGAAAGGTTTTTTCGAGCATTCATCCAACTGTGCCCTATAAAACCACAAGCACGATTCTCAGTTTCGGACTTATTTTTCTCCAAATTTTATCAATAAGCAAAAAAAGAAGAAGTTATTTCTGCAGTTCTCTAGCTCTACCGATTCATTCATTGAATTGAGATAAAATGAGTGCCAAAATAATTTTTTTGCAGTGTGAAATTGTTGGTCTATTTTTCTCTGGGGCTTTTCGCTAATATCCTTACAGAATTTTCTCATTATTATTTCTTATATTCTTTCAGGGCTAAATTGTATGGATGGCCAAACACGTACGTATTCACAAAGGCGATGGGAGAAATACTTCTAAGACACTCAAAAGATAATCTATCCGTCGTCATCATACGTCCGACTGTAGTCACCAGTACTTACAAAGAGCCATTTCCAGGTTGGGTCCAAGGTTTCAGGTATGAAGCTTGCAAGCACTGTAAAATTTGACTAGGTTTACTCAGAAAACACGCATAACTCAGTTTGTTTGTTAACAAAATTATAAGCTTATTATGAGACACTGGAACTGATACAATAGATCAGTGGTTAATTATATTGTTTCCCAAATTTTCAATTTTTCATCGGGGAGTGGGAAAGAAAACTAAAGGCTACGAATTTTATTTTATTTTGGGTAAAGAAAAGGCTAATTGTGTGCACTAATATAGGTCTCTGTGCAGATTCAGAAAAATTTAATGGTACAATGATTTTTATTTGGTAGGGTCTTATAACTAAACTTCAACATGTGTGCAATCTTTGTTGTTGTTGTTGCAGAACCATTGATAGTGTAATTGCTGGTTATTGTAAAGGGAAGCTGACATGTTTGCTTGTGGATCCTATGTCAGTATTTGATATGGTAAACTTCATGGTTCTCCAAACACTCATAGGTACAAGCACACAACAGTAATTTTACAATCAAAACTATCGATTTTGAAATTATGCAGGTTCCTGTTGATATGGTGGTAAATTCAATAACTGTAGCAATGGTGGCAAATGCAAATAAACCGTCTAGTATCATTTACCATGTGGGAAGCTCTTTGAGAAATCCTATCAATTTCCTTAATATTCACAGTTTTGTCTTCCGATACTTCACAAAAGATCCATGGATTGACAAGGATGGAAAGCCTGTCAAGGTTGGCAAGGGTAAAATATTCAAGACTATGGCTACTTTTCGCATGTATATGCAAATTCGCTTCATGCTACCTTTGGAGGTTTGTAATTTCCACCATTAACAGTATATATATAGTATATGTATATGTATATTCATATATATTACTTTTAATTCTTGTTTGAAGGGTTTAAAGTTCGTGAACAAAGCATTTGGCAAATATTTCCAAGATCTGTATGTCAACTATAATCAGAAACTCAAATTGGTGATGCGCTTGGTTGAGCTATACGAGCCCTATATGCTATTCAAGGGCATGTACGTATGCATTA